AAGAATCCAAGTCTCTGTACTAAATTGCTTCGAGGAGATCACAGGAATATGGAACTCAGTGGTGAACACAATTCTACGGATACATTCTTGTTAAACTCAAATGACTTTCATGCTATTAGTTGCTAAGATACCTGCTAGATGGCCAACCAATGCAGCTCAATACTTTCAATGAGCACCACCTTTCCAGTCTCATTAGTGCCGGTCGGCATTGCACATATTATTGTAGCCATGCTCCTCAGCATGAAATGAGGCTCATCTTTTCTTAAGCTGGAGTTCGTAACCACATCCCGACACTACATTACATGTTCATCTTTTTTAGTTTAACTTTTTCCCATGGCCCGTGACAGTAATGGGCTAGACTAAACAAGACATCGTCAATCGTTGATATGTTTTATTATTCTTGAACATCAAGATTTGACATGCAGTAGCTTCTGCTCACAGTTGTCGTGTGTACGGTACCATATCCATTTATATTCATATTTGTGAAGATCACTCTGCCATAGTAGCTGGTATATTAATGTAGCGCAAGGGAGTTTCTCGTTGAGTTTTCTTTGTTCTTTTCCTACATCAACAGCTTTCTCATCATCTCCTGACATCTCTGACTGTCCTGAAATTCTATGAAATCACACATAGTTTTGAGCCCCAGCCTGGATTGATGTGATTGGTAAAAAAAAATAAAATAGCATCCTTTCTGCATAGTTTTTCCACCTTGCTTCTTCTGTAAAAACAGCTTATCCCAGACTGTTTCTGACACTGGTTGAGCACTAACATAAAAGTAAATGTAGTGTGAAGACGCTTCTCGTCATGCAAGGATACAGAAGTGTGTGTGATGGGACTGGAACAAATAGGATGCGTTAAAACTCACAAATCTTCTGCAAGTATGCATCCTGGCCCGACACAGCTCCTATTCTGATTATTACAGATGTATTGCAGCAGACAAAATGGTTTTTTTTTACATTGCATAAATTTGCATGTTGTAGAGATTGATCACACTGGTATATTCTGGATAAATCTGCTAGTTTTTGCTTGAGAATGTGATTCTTGCTTAACCTTTCATGCATAACATCCCTCTGAGCATGCCACTGCCAATAAAATATACTTAATTTCCATACCAAACATCTTTTTTCGAAACCTTTCTAACATTTTTATATACCCGGGCATATTCTTTGGGAATATACTTCAAGTGGTCTTGACAAGGTTTCGGTGCTCGGTTTAGGCTTCCCTGGTGATTCTGGCCAACTCTATACAAACAAGGTGTCCGGTGTAGTGTTATTGATTGAGTCAGTCCTTCAGTTGCAAAATGTGCAAGTACTGCTGAGTCACTCCTCGTTCTGAGTCATTCATCCCCCAACACAAGATTAAGGATTGTCACCATCACTTGTAAAGCTGGCATTTCCCATTATTACAGTCCCATGTTCTAACATCTGTCCTCAGTGAAAACTAGCCAGCGCTATATTTAGCCCACCCGTCCAGCTGTATATAGGTCAAGAATCCCATCTACACTTCAAGGCTGCAGTGTTCATGTTGCTTGTGTAAGATCCTGGCACTTAGTTTTCTCTGACCACTCCCATTCTACAGACAACGTACAGTTTTAAGGACTAAAAAGCTAATCCTCTGTGGGCAAAATCCAGTGCAAAAAGCAAAAAAATTAAAACCGGTTCTGTTTTATATTTTTTGTTTTTTACAGTTGAAGAAAAAAAGCCCTTGTGAGGGGAAAAGCCAACACTGTTTTGTGGCTGTCAGGTGTTTCCCTTTGTGAGGCTTCCTATAGAGAAAACTGCCTGACGGCCACAGAAGTATTGCTGCTTTGAAGTTTTTTTATGAACTTTTCCCACCCACAGGCTGTTAAATTCCCACCTTTGAAAATGTATTACACTTCCTTCCTTTGGCATCAATATGTGCGTATTCCCTTCTTTAGGTTCGCAAGGCAGCGGAAAGAGAGCATTTGCTTGGTCACTTTTACTCTTCTAAGTAGTCTATTCCTCTAGTCAACTTCCCAAGGTGTGCTCGGTTCCAACCAGAAACAAAGATCAGCTTGATCAGGGACAAAAAAAACTACTGAATATCATCTATTGCATCTTACAACTTAACTGCGCAAAAAAATAAAATAACAGATAACAACCATCACCATCTGTTTCTATCTTCTATTCAAAGTAGCATGAGAAAATGCTAATAATGGTAATTGTGATACAATGGAAAACCGCAAACAATGGTCCTCAGGTTTTTGTTACATAATAATACACAATTACAGTATGTCCAGTTCAACCACTAGGCTGGATGTTTATTCAAACCGCTCAAACTGGGATAATGATTTCCTTTTTAAATGTAGTGGTTTAGGTGTTAATAGTACTCGTAAATCTCAAATTCAACATAATCCATTCTGTCAATTTTAAGCCAAAGTTAGCAGACATTTTCCTGAAGGGCCTTGTGGATATCTGTTTCTCCTTTAAATAAATAACGCACTCATCCTCATTGTAAGAGTTGACAGATTGCTTGACAGAACTGTAATACAAACCGTTATATAGACAGTTAGAGTAATTGACAAACCCCTCATTAAAGGCTGAGCTTCACCTCACTTAATGTGTCTGTTGTTATATTTTGAATAGCCAGTGTATTTTCATTCCAAGGACAAAATTGGTTCGACATAAATTTACAACTCATTGAACCTTGAAATGTTCTAACTGAACCATATCATGTTTGGGGTGATCCTTAGTAGATAACATACTATTCATTTTCTCTAAATGTATCGATTGATAAACAACGTTTTTATTCCTGAGAAGAAGTAAATGTAAGATTTATCACACAGTAGAGGACTTGTATTTTATGCAAATGATTTATTGACTCTTGTTTGAGCAGTTGCTGTATGGTACCGTGTAAAAGCACTTAAAGCATAAGGCTCATACATCAGGAGCCTCTTAAGACCTCTTAGACCGGCAGGGCACAAATTACTTATTTAAAACTAAGTACACTGCATCTTCCTACATTGGAAAATGTGTTTTTAAATTGCAAGCAAGGCCTTTCAAATATAATAACTTTTAAATGTAACTTATAACTGATAACTAATTATTTCTTTAATCGTGCCAAATTCTTGGCAGCCATTTTAAGCACATTCATTTTGTCACTTTAACAAAGCTGTCTGATTAACTGTTGTCATAAAAGAGATCATGGGCCAATTTGATTTATAAAAATAAAATAAGAAAAAAGCGATCGCTTGCAGGCAAAGTACAGTCTGCGGATTTGTTTCCCTGCCAACTCTAACAGACGGGAAGAGATGGTTGGAAGAGGAGGCGTAGTAGGAGGGAGAGGGTAGGTTTAGACAGGCTTCTTTTTCATCCACAGCTCTCGACAGAACCTTTAAAGTTAATTCAGGGTCAGTTAGTATGCATTCTAAAAGACTGTAGTTTGCAAAATAAGAAAGTTTATGTCACTTCAGATCAGTCATTCTGTCACGAAGTTAACATCTCTGCCCTTTTCCTTGCTTGAATTTCAGCAGAATTTAATAAATAAACCAGCAATGTGGCGGTCGGTCTCATCGCTAGAATGAGCAGCTGAAGAGTACTTTTCCTCACAGACAATAATGTAAAAAGATTTACTTGAACAGCTCCTGAGTTTAAGTTTGGCCTCATATCAAAACAATAACAATATATCTCTCAACGGCATAGATAAATTCTAACAAAGTCCCATCTGTCTGTTTAAATGAAGCATTTCATTAGTGGATTGAGGCAGAGCAATCTAAAGAGTAGAGGGCCACTTTAACCCCAAAGGTTTGCATGGGGATGACTATCACCGAATGGGATGCATGTTAATCTCCATTTTCTCGATTATGTGCGGGCCACTGCCAGTACAAACTGTTTATTCAAAGTCAGGGTGACTTTCTTTTACCGTGCTTAAGTCCTCTGTTGCACGGAGAAACAGAGGGAGAGAGAGAGAGATGATGAGGAATAGGGGGAAACGGAGAGATGAGCAGAGGAGTAAACACTGAGACAGGTGTCTGGCAAGGGACAATGATTAGATTTATAAACCAAGCAATGTTATTTCCTCTGCTCGGGGACTCCTGTAAGACATTAAGCGCTAACTGAAGCTCCCAGAGTCCCACTGCAGAGACACTTGTCCCCCATTCTCCCTCCTTGGAAATCCAATCCTCCTTTCTTTTTATTCCCTCACATTCCTTCCTGCCTCTCAGCTCAGCATCTCTTCTTCTTTTTCTTCTTTTCCCCTGGGCGCGATTATATTTTCTCCCTCGCGTCCGACCAAGATGGATCGGCCTTGAAAGCATCCTTTCTGCTTCCATCACCCTCCTTGTGTTTTCTCTTCCTCAGTCAGGGGTGTGTCATCCTTTCCCCCCAGTCTCTCCAGACCACTGGCTGGCACATAATTCATTGTGCAATTCACTTCCAGCTGGAGTGGAACTGAGCACATTAGAGATGGGTCTGCTAAGGTGATCAGAGTTGCTTGTGCGATGCCCAGGGACCATTTTTCTTCATTTGAAAGCATCTGTCTTGCTGTCAATACTATAGATTTTCTATCAGCTCCTTAATTATGGCTCCATGATTGGGAACGTTATTGGTCGAGCTCCCTGATATGAAAACTCTAGTATCAATTCTGTGTCTGTCAGGGCACACAGCCTGGGTTATTAGACGGCCATTTGAACAGTTATATGAAATAGTCCTTCCTTCCCCCCTTTTCAGTGTACAGCTGGAGCAGGATCGGCTTTATTCAGCTTGCATACTCCTCTGCGAAATCTGTCAGAAAATGAAATCGCCGCAGTACAAGCATCCATGTCCTGATTCCAGCTTTATAACTTCACAACCTGTTCGAGGCTCAAAATAAGCTCATTAGGTTTGGTGAGTTTGGGGGCCCAACATGGAGACGAATATTATTCAGGCCCATGGAGGGGTAGAGGAAAACATCATTTCACAGAACAGACGTTTTGCTCAGCATGATTAAATGACGAGGCGAACGCAATGTAAATCTTTTTCGCTCTTCCTTTCTCCCTCTAGGTCATCTGATGGCGTGTGTGCAGCAGGATCAGTGGTGGTGAGTCGTCTGAAAATGGGGGAGATGGAAGACGTTGACGTGGACCACATCACCACCGAGATACCATCACACAAGGTAAAATAGCAGGGTGAAGACACAAAGCAGGAGTCTCCATGCTCCAGAGGCCTAGCGCTAATGCTAGGATTAGACTGGCACTGCTCAAGTCCTCCAATGAGATTAAATACACTTCAGTAAACCCTAATGGGGAGTTAGAGGATGTGTGTGTACGTGTAATGTCTGTGTCTGTGACTCCGTTTGTTTTTTCTTTCTGTCATATATAGAATAGATTAAAAAGAGCCTGATCAAATTAGCATCCTGACACTCACACCCTGTTTGTGATTGTGTAGCCAGTCCTGCAGCCTTCCTTCATCTGACCAAGTGGCAGATGCTTCCTGAATGTGGCTTTTTTGCCGTCGCCACCCCCATCTCCACTCTAATCTCATAGAATACATACCGATTAACTCTGCTCTCAAGTGACTTACATAATCAGGGGAGAGAAAGCGGAAGAAAAGAGTATTCTCCTTCAGAGTTTGACAGAAAACCGAAGATTGTGTCATCCGAATGGGGTGCAACTACACCAGAAATGAAGTTGTATGTACTCTGATTTCACTTTATTTTCTTTACATTCCTAATGTAGCCAGATTTGTTAAAAAAAAGTGAGTCTCAAGTGAGGTTGTTTAGAGCCAGAGTCAGGTATTAAAAATATTTTTTCTTATGTGTAAAGAGGAACATTCAGATTTTCTCTTACCACAGCACAGCTCTGCAAGGCAGCACGGACACTTGTAGTCCTTGCCTTCTTTTGATTTGTTGTTTTGTGTGTGTGTGTGTGTGTGTGTGTGTGTGTGTGTGTGTGTGTGCATGTATGAATCACTGTCTTATATAATTGACCAAGGGCTTCTACATGGCTGACTGGCTTTCGGTTCTGCCAACCCCTGTTGCTGGTGCAGGGAGGTTCCCTGCTAGGCTTCAGAGTGTCACTGACAATCTGCCCACGTCGCCTTGATGAATGTGTTGCCTAGTGTGTGTGTGTGTTGTCACAGCACATTTCCCCTTGTGTGTTGTTACTTGTAGAAGATGAGGGAAGGAAAGAGGGAAGGGATATGACAAACATTAGGGAGGGCTCACTTGAGACTCAAGACTCACTTGTGGGGAGGTTCTTGTTCAATTACCTAAGTTGTGTGCATGTCTTGCTGCCTGAATTTAGTGTTTAATGTGTGTGTTTGTGTGTTGGGGTTGGAGGCACTTGTTTGATCATTCCCTGTGATTGCTTGAGTGCTGCCACTCATGAATATCCCGCTGACCCCTCAACATCAGCTGAAACAAGAAAGAGACTCCAGTCACCTTTGATCTGATCTCTTTACATATTTTAGTCATCAAAGAGATGTTGAACACATGCTGCCTACAATTACAATGGGACTCCTTTTTCGCAGCTGTGGCTCATTGTTAATACTTTTCATTATCTGAGAGCTTACTTGTATGCTGACTGAAATATCCAGATTGTTTCTGTCTGTATTTTTCAACGGACACATTTCATTTTCGAGTTTGTGTGTGTGAGCATGGGTGTTGGGTTGGGTGTCTACTTTATTCAGGATCAGTTTCTAAGCTAGGAGAGGTGATGGATTGTTCCTAGCAGTCATTAAAGTCCTTTTCTGGGGACAGGTTGGGCTGTCTGGCTGTGTTAAATGGTTCATCAGACAGGGCAGAGCTGACAGACAGCAAGCTAAAAAAAATTGTTAGTTGTCACTATTGCTTTGATGAGGAGTCCCAGACTTAATGCATCACGAGGCATTGAAGGTTTTCAGTATCGGAGTCCTAGCAGAGGTTGCGTTGTCACCAGGCGTTAACCACCGCTTCTGCCGAGTGAAGCCAGTGCGGACATGTCTTAAGAGCATTCTCTCTACCGACCAGCAGGGGGCGCCTCCTTCGGATGCAAAAAGAAGTCTGATTGTATGGAAGTCTATGAGAAACTGACCCTACTTCTCACTTGATTTATTACTTCAGTAAACATTGTAAACATGAGTTTATAGTCTCAATTGCTAGTTTCAAGTCTTCTTCAATACAGCATGATGTAAATAGTAGTAAACTATGATCCATTTAGAGTCAAACAGACCGTAAAGCGGAGTATGTTTTAGTGCGGGCTTAGTGTGATTGACAGGTTGCTGCCACTGCCAGAGCCTAATACTGCGTCTCTACTTCACTCCTCCGTATTGCAAATATGGTAACTACCGTTCATTGGTTGTGAAAAAACAACAACATGCCTTCAAAATGGCAGTCCACAAACCAATGGGTGACGTCACGATGACTTCTTCCACTTCTTATATACAGTCTATGGTTATAACATGGACATATTTGAATTGTATGTGTAGCAGTGTGAAAAGATGGAAGGGTATAGTTTTACACTATTTGTTCAATTAACTTGACGGTTTTTAAACTTAATAGCACCAAAAATATCCTGAATTAAAACAGAGTAAAGCAACAATAATTTGTGTCAGGAGTGGTTGAACAGTGTTTAATCGTTAGCCGGCTAACGAGCTTACAAATTTGGCTCAAATGTCCACTTGAACTCAAGGATGAACTGATTAGAATACAAAGAGCAAAGGTCAACGTCACTGTGATCTCACAAAACACATTTTTGGCCATTACTCAAGAATTACTAATTATGACAATTACGCACAAATGTCTGATGGGATAAAATAATGAAGTGATTACATTTTGGACTGACATGGATGTAAACTTGAACATGTTCGGTGGGCGGAGGCATACAGCCGCAAGGCAGTAATTTCTAGTTTCTACATGGATCATCAACTTTTGAGGATGCTGAATTTTTTCCCCTGTGACATGCAGATGTAGCCTCAGTCTTTTAGCACAACATCATTTATGTAGCTGTTTAATGCACGTTCAAGATCTCTTTTACAAGATTCCCATTAAAAAGTCAACCAGAAACTAAGATTTTAAACTCATGGAGCTGATGTTCGCGTTATTAGCTCGCCAGCTGCAGCTGATAATCGTGAGCCAGCATGAGTTGTCGGCCAGAATTGAGAAGCTGCTTTTATCTACCTCTTTCTGAAATCAAGCACCCATTGTTTAAATTCCGTCACTGTTATCATGTTAACATGTGCCATGTGGCAGATTTGAAAGATTGACAGGCATAGCAACAGTTACTAAAGGGATGGGACTTTGCAAAAAACCAATTGTGGTTCATTGGATACAAATTTTTCAACTTTGCTTGGGTTTGAAAAACTGCCCTTGTTTGAAATTCCCCAAAACTAGAATAAGACATTACAGTATATGTTCAGTATATTTATGTAGTATGATGAAGGATTTCTGAGGGGGGATTTGTTGCTTCATCTCATCATTGTTCCTCTGGTAGGTTCACTGAAAGAACCACTTTAAAGATAAGATAAGGTGAGTTGATAAAAACTGAAATGTGGATGGAGGTAATAATTTCTCAACCAGCAACCCATTGAGTGAAGTCACAGCAGTGTGCTTTCCTTCAGCTGTCACCTGCTGGAACATCGCTGATTGCAGAAGTGCAACATACTTGAGAATTTGAACTAAAAAGGGAGCAGTGCAACAGCAGCTGTTGTCTCTGTGTGGCACCATGGGTTTAATCTTTAAATGTAGTGTTTGTAATGTGCATATAGCACAGATTGTTTCATTGAAATTAATTGGCATTATGGTATTGATGCAAACAAAAGCCCCCCCCCCAAGAAACACATGAAACCATCCATGCATCATATTTAGTTATTATGTACTAATTTGTGCTGGTTTTAAGTTTCATGTTTTATTTTAGTTAAAAGGGTTTGGTCTCCATTGTACCTCATAAGTAATAGTCATGATTAAAGCCCTCATTAAAAATATCATTATGATATAAATATTCTCTGTTTCTCTCCTTCTGTTCTTTTCCTTTCCAGTGTCCCTTGGTTTATGAGTCTGCGTCCCATGCCTGCATCGACCGGGAGAATAACCCGCTGACAGGTCCAGGTATGATTTACACCTTGAACACTTGTAATCTCACTTATTGCTGAATGATGTGGCAATCAAAGAAAGGAAAAGAAAGAAACATGTGTTCTCTAATTTTCTTTTCTTTCTATTCCTTTTTTTTTCTTTGTGCACTTGGAATAAAATAAGTTAGTGCATAATGCTAATTTGCATCTTACTTTATCCAAAAGTCCTTTAATGTTGATCTGTATCAAGGTGACTTTTTCCATTACCAAGATCTCTGGGATATCGTATTTGATTAAAGAATTTGTATTTGTATTATTATTTTAAAAAAGAAGACCCCGAGGTAAACCGTCTTGGTTCTTTGTGGACTAACTGAAGACAAGCTAAGGATGCCATGCTAGCTATGTGAGATTAACAAATAAAGCTCTCTCTCACTAGTAGATAAATAGAGAAGTGTTGAGAGAAAAGGAAAGATGTGTAGACAGAAAAGGGGTAGACTTAAAAAGGTCACAAGTCCAACTGTTTTTAAAACTTCACAGCTCTTGTTCACAGGACACTTTTCACACGTTTCACCCCATGCATTCGTTTGTTCAACACATCAATTTTCTCTTTTATCCAGATTCCCACCACCTCCTTAAGCTTCCCAGCAGCCCCATGCCTGTTGTCATGGTGTCATTGTCGTTTACTGTTTCTACGGAGATTAGCTAGTGAACTGAAGCCATGTTTGTAGTTGCACATCTGCAGCCCGTCAAAACAATACCCTCCCTGCAGACCCCTCCAGATTGAGTAATGCAATTTAGTCTTCCACTTTTATTACCTTTCGAAATGTGCATGCAGAGAGCAGGGAGAGACGGGAGCCCACACACAGCATGTCTCAGGAAGTCATTTTCTTAAGAGGTGTTGGAAAGAAAAAACAGAAGCACCTGATTGGTGGTCAGATTAGTATGGTGGCAAGGAGGAGTTCAGGGGTTAATCTGCTTCTCTGAAGGAGGTGGAAGTCAGCAACTGTCGCTCTTCCGATTAAGGTCATACCTTCAAACCCCTTCTCTCCATGTGGTCCTTGCTCCCCATTTATTGTTGTGATCAATTTCACTTTCTCTAATCCCCATGCCAACAATGTCTCAGTATTCCATTTAATTTAGTTGCAGTTATGAATCCTTTCTGGGGTGATTCCAGGCTTAACCTTAATCATCATTAATTTTAACATCAACTTCAGCAGCGTAGAAAAATAATAATAAGCCTCTCTACAGCATTTGTCGAACAGTTATTGTCCTTCGGAGAAGCTCTGATTGTCTGTATGTACCTGGGTTTATAGTGTATCCACTATCCACACAATATTGTTTGCGTATTATGATGTAACAAACAAAAACAATTTAGCCTCTTTAACACTATATCTTCAAGTATTTTATAGATATTTTGATGCTCAACATGTATTTAACAGTAAACAAAGATATGCACAAAACAGTGATAGAAACACCTGGTGAAGAAGGTCAGAAGTGTCTAAAGATGTTCTCTGTTATGCTATTTTATGGTGCTTAATTTCTACTGTGCTCCTCATACTGTATGTTGCTATTAGTTTGTCCAATTCAAACTCATCAACTGCATAGTTTCGACCTTTATATGCAGCGATGTCGGCAACCCCCCAGACCTGTCTTGAAACACAGGCCCTGTTTCGTTCACCTTGCTTTATGGGTGTGACTTTTTTTGCTGTGTCATCCTCACCACTTATACCATGTGTTTATGATTAAATTATTTACTTGAGCACGCCTAAAAGTTCTGCATTTAAAATCTTAAGTAGAAGTACAAAAGTGTTCGCATCAAAATATACTTAATGATCCGAAAATTAAAGTGTCCTCTACATAGAAGGGCACATTTCAGAATGAGATATATTATATCATTGGAATACTTTCCACAAGCCGGTTTTGGCTTTTGCGTTGAAATGTTTGCCGAAATGAACCAGCGTTTTTGAAACACATTTGAGGTAGTTGTTGAAACCAGCCAGTAAACACACTTCTTGACATTGCATCGTATATTAAAATCCTCTTACGACACAAGAACTCTCACTGTAGTTCACATTCTTGAAACAATCTGCATTGGAGTGCATCACTGAAATTGAACACTCAAAGACAAATGACATAGCACCACCAGGAGTAATGTCTTGGTCACTTGGACGGATAACTTTGGAAAGAGGACAATGTGGGGCCAGATCAGGGTACAGTTCAGTGTGAAGGGTTCGGTAGGGGGAGGGTTCTCTGTGCTGTCAACATGAGCAGAAGTGTGGCTCGCGCTTATGAGTTCAAGTGAAAACATTTTACTGGTGCCATGAATGTTTGACTGCCTACAGCGAGATTGTAGAAGTTTTACCCCGGGTGCTTCAGCTCCGACTCATTGAGTGACTTCCTTTATGACTGCAGCTCTGGAAATGGAAAGGAGTGGTAAACACTGTTCAAGGCACAGCTTTCTTGCCCTTTGCTGCCAGCATGCAGATAAGAGCATTAGAGCTGTTTTTCATTTCCAGCCTTCGATTGATGCTATTAGCCACTCGCTGCAAAAATGAAGAAGCTGGTGCTGAATCTGAATAGGTTTTAATGGGTGGTGGGGTTAGCAAGAAGAGTTCCAAAGTGAGTCAAGTCTCTCTGACCGACCGTTGTACAATAAACAAGCAATTTAAATGGAAATGGAAGAAAAACGATGCACAGGACAAGGTCTCACTATTTCAGTCAGTATTCTAGTCTGCTGTGCTGCCACTGAAGTAGAAAGAGAGAAAGAAAAAGGGCCTTGGAAGATGATAAAAACCTTATCTTTGGCAGACACAGTTATTGATTATTGAATTTAATTTGTGCGTCATACATCATGTGACTCTTGAAGAGCTTCTGTCTGTACCTTCCTTAAGGGTTCCAGCTGTCAAAGTTGGTTTAGATCTTAGAATTTCAAAAGTTAAAATGATCTTTGATGAGAATGTGTTGTATTTTCTGCCGTGTCAGATGGTTCAATATACCTTTCTTCCGTCCCTTTGTCTCCCTCTCTCCCTCAGTGTTCAAGAACCCAATATGCAAGGTGTACAGATTTCAAACAGTGGACAGCAAGTGGATGCTTGTGCGAGAACAAATGGAGGAGTGCACGTTGTCCTTTAGCATCCCCAAGCAGCTGCTCTCACTGTATATTCAGGAGGACATGAGCAGGTAAGTCACTCTGAACTCAAACTGTTGATCCAGTGGATGTCACTACCAGCTTTCTCATTGCATCGGAAAGCCCATTTTCTTGTTTGCATCAACTAACCAGCCAATGAAGAACAATCAAAAGTTCAAAGTAAAACTGCAACTTCATAATGTGTACAGTAAGTGTGTGTAGTTTCTAGATCGTCGTTCCCGACCCAGTTCATCGTAAGTGATTGTTTAAAAGTTCCGCCTGTATTTGGAGAGGAGTGAATTATTCAGATCTGTTTAACACTTCAAACGAGGCTGCTATGCTCATGTATCCAGCATACGACTAACTTTGTCTCTGTCAAACACACACTCGCGCTTCTCCTGGTCCTCTCATAAAGCATTGAAAGAAGGCTCTTTGAACGTCCTGCCACTCCTTAAGATTTCAGTCCTGGTTCATTCTGTGACATAGGTGCAGGTTAATACTACAGGTCCCTTAATTATGGGGGCAGCAAATACTCCTTGATCAGCCATTGTTTCAGAAATACAACAGAGAAGCAACTGGTGTATCTGTCAGCAGTGCAGCCAAAAAAACTCAGTAAGTCAAGTTAGTAATTGGCCTTTTTACCGTCATGTCATGAGCAATTATGGTCTGACTGTATGCTGTGCACGGTGCAAGTAGTTTTCCACACAATGGCAGGTTTAAGTAAAGTTGTTTACATTGCAGAGGAGCCTGCAAACCTTTATCCAACAGCTCGCCTTTGGCGTCTCCTTCTTGATATATTACTCCCCTAGAATATAAAACTGCTAGATTGTTTTAGCACATATTAAACTCCATCAAAACAGAGCTCAAGAACATTACTGCAATTAAAGTCCAGTCCAGTTGATAGTCTGTGAGCATACTGTGTGAGAATGAGGACAGGTGGGTGATGTTTCACCGCTCCTTGAGTGTGCACTCGTAATTAGATCCCGTGGTCCCTTCCTTCAGGCTCGACCAGTGTTTGTCAAGGCAGATCATTCCTCAACTGGCCTGTTGTCCGTGGCAACCCCTTATATAACACACAAAGGCGTCCATACATACACGCACACACAGCTTCAGATGATTTATCTCTACCCCCTTTAAAACAAAGAATTAAAAGGCGAAATACCCCCCTTTCGATGGACCACGATAGGACCATGATCCCATTTAAATTGAGCAATGAATTACACATATGATGCTTGTCAATTTAAAAGATCGTTTTTACACACATCGCTTCTGTATAGGCATGAAAAGATGCAATCAGAGACTTTGACGAATCGTCCGTGGGAGAATAGCTTGATTTGTAATCACAGTGTGCACCCTAAAGGATCATGGAGAGTTCAAGGACACAATCACATGCTGAAATATACACACAAGTGTGTTCAAACCCTCCACCGCACACATGCACATAGAAACAATCACACAGCCATTATTGACCGATTGACTAGACAAGCTTTGTTATCAGTTCACCTGTCTTATACAATGGGTTCACATTTCTAGACCATGGTTCCCACTTTCTCAGTATCTCCTACCCTACTTTCTGTTTAAATAGAAGACGAACTGCTCTGCAAACCGATCATTTAAATCACAAATACATTTAGAGGACAATTATAGAATATTTATTAAATCTCTTATCTGTACAATGCAGCTCATGAGCACACAGCAGGCTCCTAACCATGACTACCATATAGAATGTTTGTTCATTAATAGGCATGTGTACCATATCTCCAGCTTGGTTAAGCACCTCTTCTATAATCCTCTTTAAATGTTGTCTTTCTCCATGGTGCCTCTCCATTTAGCCGATTCTGTCAGCGAGCCTAACACTGTTGCTTGCGCTCTGTGTTTTTAAATGATTCAGTTATTGCTGCGAAGTTGTGAGTGTAACGGCGGATGGTGGGTGGCTTAGTTTGCTTCACCGCTCTGTGATAATCTTGGATATTTCTTCCTTGTGTGTGTTCGCTTTGATGTCTACAGTCATGTATTAATCTAACTATGCGCACACTGAGGTGCCCGATTTTCCTTCTTTCCTCCAGTGATAATGCTGTGGCTCCTTGTGTTGGTGTGTGTGGTTATAAAGATAATGAATGCATGTATAGTAGTGTGTCGGTGTGTGGGTGTCAATTTAACCCCATTCATTAAGAGCTGTCTGGTTTCTGATTAATGGGGAAAAAAACATGCACCTTCTTTTCCTGTTAATGAATAAGTACTGTGATAACGTATCAAGATCATATAGGTGACATGTTGAAATCCGGCTTCATTGTTTCCAATTGTTCTCTACATTCAAGATCAGTATTAATGACATCAGTGCTTGTTGGATGGGCCTGTTTTTTTCCAGCACAAGCTGCAGTTTAGTACAAGAAGGTTTTATTGACCCCACACACAAAGCCCTTTGTGAATAAATTTAAATGGCACTATAACGCATCATGAAATGCAGGTGCCTAAATTACAACAAATGTATTCTGTATTCCCAGTCAGCTGTCTTGTTACATTACATTACAGTCATTTAGCAGCCGCTTTTATCCAAAGCGACTTACAATTCAGAGTCTATCACATTTCTACACCGTAGGCACAGCTACGGGAGCAATTTTGGGGTTAAGTGTCTTGCTTAAGGACACATCGTCATGCGACTAGCGGAGCCGGAGTTCAAACCGCCGACCCTCTGATTGAAAGACTGCCCTGCTATCCACTTAGCCACAATCGCCCACATTGCTCTTGTCATTGTTCTACTTGATTATTGTCCATCTTTTAATTTTCTAGTACCTGCTTAATATTTTAGTCAAGATAAATTACTAAACTAAACTTTATTCAAAACTTAATCATTGTTGTATAGACTTTTTTCTTAAAATCTTAGTAATTATATCCCCTCCCCTCTTCCATTCTTTCTTTTCTTGTAGGATACTGTTTTTTGTCCACCTATTTTTATTTGTTGTCCATTAAGCCATTTATTATATCCTCCAGGAGATAATGAGATCAGTCGTGTGTACGCCCATCTCTGTGTCTGTCCACGGCTAATTTGCATTTGATACTGCCAGAGACACAGTTATTCCGAGTCTTTTCATTGGGCATCAACCTAATATTATACGTGTATTGTCTAAAAAGTAGACTTGAAGCCTAACGTAACGCTTCAAGTTGCAGTTACGCCCACGAGACAAAGCTGAGACGTGCGCCTGCACAGATCTGGTGCACTCATCTTCATAGATAAAAATGAGAGCATACTGTATCTGTTGCGAGTGAAAAACACCACTGATGGTCGTTGCAGACACATTTGTCTGAGATCGAATGCACCTTTAGCGTTATCTTGTACTTTCAAGGCCTTTTTTCGGATTGGGGGTGGACACAGAAAGGAGAGAAATGGCACGTATTTTGGTCAACGTTACCCCCCATCACAGCCAGTTGTCAGGAACTGGCCAAGTGTTCCTGGAAGAAAAGTTGCCATGGGAGGTGCAAGTGCTTTCAGTTCGGACTTCCATGTACAGCACTCTGCAGCTGCATATGTGAGCAGTAGCAGTTGGAAGATGAATGTGCCCGATGACCGTACCTCTGTGCGGAGTTACTGCAGACATTCAGATCTAAATGATACCCCCTGAATAGTGACATTGACATTAATGCACCTAAATTTGGTGCTACATATTAGTTTGAGGCTAAGTCCTCAGCAATTGTAAGTAAAATTGCATTTAAATAACTGAAAAACAATAAAAACAAAAGAAAATGTTCATGTTACAATTGGTTATAATCACTTTATGGCAACTGCAAAATTGTTGATTTTCATATCAGTTCAGTATCTAGTGCTGTAAGATAATAAGTTTCCGTCCAGATTGACTAGTCTAGCAATGTTTCATATGTTATGTATAGTTAAATCTCCATAAAGAATCTCAACTACTTTCCAACGGTGCTGATATATCCTAGCAACTAGTCTTATAATGTTGTTCATGTGAATTTAGCTGCTTTGATTTCATGTTTAGAATAATATTGTTGATCTTATATGAAAATGTAGCATCTTTTACAATTTAAAATGTGAAATACAGTTGTTTCATTTATTGAAAGAGTTACAACTTTTTTACAGTCCATGCTGACTAGACTAGTCTGGGAATGTACTATAAGTTACACATTTATTTATTTTCAAATGTATTATTGTTAGATAAATGGAGTGTCCAGTGCCATACAGTTTGTTTTGTCAAGTTTGATATTATATTCTTGTAATGTTCAATTTGAACATAGTTGAAGGAAATGATTTTCATAAGAGTTGAATTATTAATTGACACTTATATTCGTTACTTTTTCCACTAAATGTCCAATTTCATCAGCACATTCATTATTCTAGTGTTATAGTTGTGGGTAATTATTAAAGCATCTTTTATTACCTACAAATAGACACCAAGATCATTCAAATCGGGGAAATACAAAGTTTTATTTGAAGAAAACATATTTTCGGGAGGCCCAATTGGCGGCCATCTTGAATAATAGCCGCCATCTTGGATTTTTGAATGGCCAATCGGGCAGGTTTGACCAGATACCTCTGGAGAACAACTCCACCAAATTTCATGCTTGTATCATAATTTGCACAATTAATCTACTATCTGCCCCACTACATAAAACATTACACAATCATTTATATCAGTATTTTAAGAGGATTTATATTTTTTATTTTTATATATTTTTATATACGTATGTCAACTGACTGACAAACCTAATCAGACCCTAAATCCCGGGCCTCTGTGCCCTATTCCCGCAATCAGTGAACCGTTTGAGCATTTGATGGGTCCTTTGGCGGCATTGTCAGAGGGTTGGAAGGAGGCAGAACCTCCTAAAAACTTAGTTGAGTATGTCAACGGCTTTAGGCACAGGTTGTACACAGCGGGGGAGCTAGCTCGAGAGAATCTGGAGTTGGCTCAAGGAAAAATTAAACGCTTGTATGACCGTCGCGCTGAGCGACGCATTTTTAGTCCTGGAGACCAGGTGCTAGCCTTGCTCCCTATGGTTAATTTGCCTTTCCAGGCAAGGTTCACCGGTCCGCATGCAGTGTTGAAGCAGATCTCGGCGCAGAACTATGTAATTTCAACACCTCAGCGTAGGAAGCCATCCCAGCTTTGTCATGTGAACTTGCTGAAGCCGCACTATGTGCGCACCTCTGAGCCGCTTTCATGTGGGGGGGTTCGTGGTCATTGAAAAAGAAACGCTAGCGCTAATCATGGCTTTAAAACATTGTGATGTGTATGTTGGTGGCAGTGGTACCCCTGTAGTGGTGTACATGGACCACAACCCACTGACCTTCCTCAATTCTTTGCAATGTTCCAACCAGAGGCTGGTCAGGTGGTCATTGTCCTTGCAGTCGTATTGCCTAGATATCCGCTGTGTGAAGGGGACTGGCAACGTGGTGGCAGACGCTTGTCCAGGGCTCCCCAATAAGCGTGTACTATATGTTATTTTCCTTGGTTCTCCTCTTGTCCCTTCCTAACTGTTTAGAATGCTTCCAATGTGCGCCGGTTGCTACAGTGGGGACCTGAGGCAAAAGATGCTGGACCGTTAAGTTAAGAACATTCGGTAAAGTATTGTATTTTGGGTTTTTCTGCCAAGGTTTGGTATTTTTGAGTTTGTTTGCTAAAAGTGTCATATACAATTTTGTTTTGATACTGGGATTCCCTCCCTGCGGGACCCAGTTCTTATGGGGGGGGGGGGGGGTGACGGTTCCCTACCACGTTCCTGGTTGTGTGTGTGTGTGTCCCTTTAATGACAGGATTGCAAACTGGAGACACCTGGGCCAGTGCTCCAGGATAAAGCCCCGCCTTCCTGGCAACAGGGGGCTCTCCTATCACCCCGTGGAGGAGCGAGGACGGCGCGTCCCAAACACCATTTGTCATTGGACGACTTTGTTATGTCGAATAAAACTCTTTTCTTTTGGGAAACTGTCTGCGTCTCCCTGAATAGGTCATGGCGGTCAGAGCCAGGTCGTGACAGTTTCTCTATTATTTTACCAAAAATAACAGATCTCTCAGGAGACAATAGTCCACTATGACACTGTGATCCACAATTAGCAGTGTCTGAGAGGTATAGTTAGAGGTTAAGATCATTGTGAATAGTTGCAATCTCTTAAAGGGAATGGTAATGATATTGTGCCATGTAATATTTGCTATATTAATCATTAAATTAGAGAACATCCAATTGGTTAAAATTGCCCAGTTATGGTACAAGGGGTCACTTCAACTGAACTGGGTACACGGTTACAGAGCACCACTATCGTGTCATAAAGTGGCTCATCTCGTCTGTGTACATAAACATCCTTAATGACTACTAATAAAGTATCAGGGCCTCCGAGGGTTGTCCCATTTCATTGGGTAAGGTTTCAACAACCTTACCCAATAGAGGTTAAGATCGAAGTTACCCATTTTAACTCTGTTCCGAAGTGCAACTCAAAAACTATGGTGTAGCGTTAAAAAAACGGAATGGGATATATATATAAGCTGGGAAATCTACTTCAATGCTGGTGTCCTTTATCAAGCATCAATGAAAGACGCTTGATTTCGTTTTATTTTTTATATATATTAGTAGTTTGTGTTCCCTTTTTAAGAACTGATGCTTTTTTCCCTTTGTTTTCCTCTTAAAATTAATAGCCACTGTCATTTCCAACAATATTATTAATTTTTTAGACTTTTCCAAAAGAACAGCATGTTTATTCATCATTGGTCTCTGTTTAATAAATTCCTCTATATAGGAATGGCTTCAAGCACTGCCAAACGTAAAAAAATATTCTTCCTTCGAATAACCTAAACATCCTTTGCTCATGGTAATCTGGAATGCACTTACTTTTTGAGGAAGCCTCCTGTCTATCTTCCTATGCCATAAGCACATCTTACACAACCACTTGCAGAGCGTGTTGGCAGAGTTGCCAACTATTAGACAGAGGCGAGGGACGAGGATAATGTCTAATGTTTGTGATCTACCATTTGTTTTACAGCTGGTTCAGTTGTTTTTAGATTCAGTTCACCCAAATTATGATAAACTATTTTTTTTCAATTACCTCTAGTGGTATCAACCCATGCAGATCATTACATTGTTATCTATATTTAGGAGTTAAAATAACCAATATCACATTTCTTTTCCCTTTATTTTTGACCTAGATTATAAATCAGTACTCTCCGGTTGCCAACTATGGAGACATTGTTCCTGAATTACCTCAAACTTATTTTGGCATTCTGTTGTGCAATTTCTTATTACTTAAAGTTCTACGCTCCCCACAAGGAAACATCAAGCTAAGCACAGCAGGGAGTGAAATGCTAACAACAGCGGTAGCAGCAGTAGCAGCAAGTAATGGAATAGCTTTCTGGTATACGGCGTCACAGCAAACATGCAGCAAAAGAGAGAGCAGAGCACTGACGGCTTAAGTAGACCGCCGTGATTAAAAGGGTGCATTTGATATATAAGATGAGACTGTGCCATGTGAGTGAAGCAGAGGACTCAAGTTGAGCGTCCTGACCCTGCTCGCGAGCATCACTTTGTTAAGCTTATATTGGCAAATATATCAGTCTATATATCAGTCTAGCTGTAGTGACAACAGTTTTTAGAAAAGTCACATTTATTTACTTTTTTAAGGGTTGAATTTTAAATTAGAACTATAACATGTCTTCAGAAACAATGTGTCTGGGTAATTAGCAGGCATGGCTACCACTAGAAATACGTATATGAGAAAATATGTTTTGTTTGTTTTGGCTGAAACCCCCTCTTGAAAAACTTGTGGGTTTGATCATTCATATGATACATCACCTTGACTCACTCTGTCTCTCTCTCTCTCACACTATCTCTCTCTGGCATTATTTCTATCGTGCTCTGCTGTGTATTGAAGTACTTCAAAGTAATTTAAAAATAACTTACTTACCTGGAGGAGACCAGGAAATAGTCTGGAGAGGCTATCAGCACCTTACGCTTTGTTGTAGTAGTTGAACTATACAACAAAGAAATAACTACTACATTATGCATTCAAGCAATTATGCCTGGTCTTAACAATAAGTCGAACCAATGAGCATGCAGCCTTTCATTTTAAGATATACTTTATACAAAATGCATGAGGTATAATCACTGAAAATTGGGCTCGTTATCATGAAAGCAATGCATATGATCATGTATTTGTTATCCTGAATACAATGTTGAACCTCCTTCAACCTCTAATTTCTATCATATCAGTGCAATTTACTTTTCAATGGGTGCTGGAGGGCAGGTTTCTGAATGATATCTGTCCATCTGATGTCGCCTTTCAGATGCAAATAATGAGCCAATGAAAGAGGCTGTACTTCCTACTAGGCAATCAGCTCCTACACACACAGACACACACTCATGGACACTGTTTATTCCTAAAGAAGGAGCACAGATGATTGTGGCCTTAGGCTGCAGACATAGCTGAAGGACAGTCAACCCATTGCTCCAGTGACACCAGTAAACACTGGATGGGTTTCTTTTATGCTTAATGGTAAAAGAATGGCGGGAGCAATGGAGGAATTTGATAGGGCAGAGTGGATAAGTGGGCACCAGCTACTAGCCTCAGGTGCAGAAATGTGTTTATCTGGCTCAGCACAGGATGCTTCGGGTCGCTACTGTGTGTACATGTGTGTCTTGGCCAGTATGTGCAAGCCTGTGTCTGCGATTTACCATAATTGTTAAGTATTGCAATAATACCCAATACGATTTTTCTCTCTTGATTTAGATAGTTTTATGTCTAATGTCAATGCTTTAAACAAAAGAGAAGCTAAGCAGAAGGAGCCAAAATGTGTGGACGTCATTAATGAGTTGTTTGACATCCATTAAAACCACAAAGGTCCTCACAGATCTGTGTTTATCTGCAGGGTGCAGGACCTGAGAGAGCTTGGCGAGCTTTCTCCTCACTGGGACAACTTAAGAAAAGAGGTGATGACTCGATACGGAGGAATCATCAACTCCTACCAGGAGACTTTGGCTGAACTGGACAAGATTACTGGTATGACTGCACCCGCTGCTACATTTTACATTCATATCTGTGTCCACACATGCATTCATGCACAATCTGCATACAAAGGTTTTTCACTCTAAATCATACAAACTCACTTGGTTATAAATGAGTTCCAAGATGTGTCCCTGGTTGTATTGCTTTATTGACCCGCCTTTGTTCAAATATGATTATCCAGGTTTTATAAAAATATGTTTTTTTTCTCTTCTATCACGGTTTGTCCTTGGATGGCATACTGTTGGCGTACTGTGAAAAAGTAGAAGTAGAGCACCTGGCTTAGGTTTGCAGGTGACACTGCTTACATTATCAATCAACCAACACTTTGTCTTTCCAGTAAAATTTGGAATTCGTTGTTTAAAAAAAAAGTAAGAATCTGTTGGTTGTGGTGAAAGTTGTCTCTTACTGTAATGTGTGGTCCCTAAATATAGAAAGATGTTGGGAGTAACTAAAGGAGTGGAGTGTGCATGTAATCGGCCCTGACCTGTCAGTACATTCTGGGTGATTTGTGTCAGTGAAAAGCTCAGTGAGTGGTTGATACATTTATCTCCTCGCTGTCAAAGAGTTTCCATAGCAACAGAGGTTTCATCAGGGCCAGTGTAAATGTGTGTGCCCATGTGCCCCTCTGTGTTTTGTTAAAGTAAACGTTTGCAGTGCACATAAAAACGGATGCAAATCTGTGCCATGTGCAAACACAACACGAGTCTTGCATCTCATTTACAAATAGTCTGTGTTCTACTTGGTATGCAAATAATATTGCACACTTTTTGCAAATGTTTTACATAATAAAATTAAGCAGTTATCTCTGATGTGAGCACAGAAAGTAATGAGGCTGCCTCTGACACTTAACAAGGAAACGTTGGACATGTGATCATGACACAGAATGCCAGTGTTAAATGTTAAATTGTATTTAGAAAGAGAAATGTAGCAGATTTATTTGCTTTGTTTAGTTTCATTACTCAAAAGGACTTTTTGGACATAACCTCACCACAACGCTATCAAAAAACGTGTGCACAAATCACTGGTTCTGCTGCCAAACAATCCGTTGCATTTTCTATCGGCCCTCCAGACTTGTCTGTCTACTTACCGGCCCCCTGGCTGTGCCGCTCCAGTAAAACTTGTACTTACGTCATAGGCTCCGCCATAGCCTATTCTGTCGCTACTGTTGCGCCTGTTAAGTGGTGGATGGATTTTTTTGAGTGTCACAATCCCGGCGAAATGACTCGTTTCACTATCACAATTTGATCAAGTCGGTCGGATAACATTTGGAAAATCTAGAAGAGCGGCACGATTGGACAGTTTCATCCCCATTCAAGTTAGCATAGGGCTAAACAGCAGTGAGATGGAATAAACCCTCACTTATTATTGAGCATGGTTTCAGAGCCTTCAGCGGACACGCCCCCCCACCCAGCGTTTCAGAACAAAGAAAGCTGCTTTTTTTTTTCTCCACGATTGTGAAATATAATTTTACATACCTGTCGACTTTTTGTCAGGTGGGTGGGTGGTCAATAACATAAACGCAGAACATATGTTTAGTTTTGCTTTACCCCGACTTTAAATTATCATGGATTTAAACTATAGCAGAAATAACAAAACAGACATTAAAGCGTTCATCAATCACTCTGGATTTGTTTCTTTCCCTCTCCATAAGCTTTCCCTGTGCATATTCTAGTTTCCTATGAGTATAGGAACATTATGGCTCTTGATTAATTTAACTCTGATTTACTCTCATCCCCATAATGAGATATTTGTCACTGCTTCATTTGCTTTGGCCAGCTGATAAGAGATGGTGGTGGCTAAGCCTCTGCACTGCCTGCCTGAGCTCTGAGGGAGGGAGTCGAGGGCGAGGGGAACAGATAATGTGGCATTGGTCATTATTGTTCCTGACAAGTCCCTTGTGGCACAGATGCTGCAATACACAAAGGCACCCCTGTCACATTTACCACTATGATTCTGTCCTGCATTAACTTAACAGGATGACAGACACTGCTAAACAAGTTGGGTGGGCAAGCTGTTTCAGATTAATTATTAATAAGTAAGATCATTAGAAAATGCAGAAAGTAGAGATACAAAAATAATTTGTGGTGTGGAGATGGTTTGAGTGTGAAGACCAGTGGGTGAGCAAAGACATGGAAAAAAGCATCATTGTTCTCGTAACTTGTCAATACTACACAAATCAATACTTTAAGGTATTAATACGTATTAATACGATTTTACTTTAAAATAACAACGGAATTGGAGAAACTGCAGGCAGAGAAAGAAGAGAAACAGTCTGCTGGGAGGTGGCGGTAAAGTCCTCATGTTTGGATTCCATTTACTACATTATTAATGATGAGCTGACCTCAGCAAACAATTCGGATGCTCTAATAACTCTATTCCATTCATAGATGAATCATTCCTACTTTCATTGTTTGCCAGCCAGCGAATTAAAGGCATAGACATAATCCTGTTAGCATGGTGTTTGTTGGACCTCCGATACTGCCAGCAATTCTCTGCACAAAAGTGTCAGTCACTCTTAAACTCCACTTATGGGATAACTTCAGCTTAAGGCCCAGAGCTACGTATTGCAGATTGAGGTTCATACCTTACTTTCTCTCTTTAATAGCTGTATTAGAACAGAAGTCTCTGTTGTCTGTTGCCTGTAGGTAAAGATGTTCAGCTGTGGAGTACACAGACATTTTATGTTCTGCAGGTTACTTCAGACAACATGAAAAACAATAGTAACAAAGAAAAGCCCTTAAAAGTAATGACCAAAATGTTAAAAGACATAAATTGGATCCAAGTTATAAAAAATTTAAAAAAAACAGTCAGACATGACTCACTTGTCCAATTCACACCTCTCTCAGGCTGATTCCACTGCTCACACAGTGTGTGTCCAATCCCCCTCTATGTCTACAACATATCTAGCTGTGGATTGATTAAAAAAGCCTGCTGTGCTCTCAGCGCCACAGGACCATGAAGATGAAACCCTTAACATGCTACTGACCTACTGTACATTGATCTGACAGGCCTCACTTATAAGAAGGTGTTGCTGAAGTTTGTGATTGTTTTTTCTTTTCTTCTCAGCTTGTTGTCAGGATCACAGGCAGACATTTCTAAAAGCACAGGATATACAGTGTAGGTTGCTCATATCCTGAAGGATTCAAAGAGTAGAGAAAAGTGGCTAAGAGCAAAGAAATAACAGGAAAGATTAAAAGAAGAGATAGTGGCCCGATGTTGGTCAGTATTGCTGGCAACCAGCCCTTCTGTCACATAGCCAGCCCACCTGGGCAAACAGATGGGGATGTGATACGGCTAATTCATCTAACCTACAATGGTCACTAGCTCGATTAGCTTGGTCCCCAGAGCTCTACAGCAGACAGTGAGAGTCCCCTGAGCAGAAATGACAGCTTAGCCATCGACTTGAATGTTAGCTTTTGGAAACAGCTCCTCCTTATGTAGCACAGAAATTGGTTGGTGTACACCGAGGAATGCAGTTATTCAGTCTGGATTGGATGAATTTTAAAGTTTTGTACGGACATTCATGTTCCCCAGAGGATGAAGCCTACTGACTTTGGTGATCCTCTGACTTTTACTCTTAGCACCACTATGAGATTGACTTCTTCTTTTTGATTATTTGATGGATTTCTTTGAAATTTGCAACAAATATTGAAGGTCCCTTGAGGATCAATTCGAATAACTTTGATGATCCTCTCGAAATTTAATTTAGTGCCATCATCTGGTCAAAAATGTTATTTTGTTTCATTGCCAAAGTCCTGCAAAAGCTAATGCCATTCCCCTCAGTCTCAGCTGTACTTTATGGTTAGTGGTGGTTGGGGAAGCAAGTGTACAAGGGCATTGGAATTATTGTGTGGCTCATTCAGTCAAGTAAAAAATACATACGATAAATTCAATAAAAATATGCAAATTATAATAAATATAAAGAGATACACATGATTGACACATAAGGAATGTAGCTTCTATTTAGTAACGTGCTCAACTGAGAGTGTTATGTCCAGTTTATTGTTCTAGACTGCACATTTCTACATGTGGAGATTATGTTTTGGTCTTCACTATATTTAGACAGATTGTATATTCAGTGGTTAGAAATGGCATCTGTTTACATTTGCACTTTGGTAAGTAGCAGCAAATCTGTTAACACCTTAGGAAGAAGACATGATTGATTTTCAGTTCTTGAAAATAATGTCACATCGCCGTCATGCTCCAGCTGAGTCATATATCCCTTTCTGAGAGGCAACACATTTCAGCTTGAGTGGGTCAGCAGTTGCAGCATTATATACACAGTGATGGAGGTGCAGTGGATTTGTTTTCATGTTTGGCCAACCTGCCTAATGATGTTAAAATCTGTGGCAGGTAACTGATTTTCCCATCTTCTGTGTAAACATAAACCTTCTGTAGCACTGAAGCTTTGATTGGTGCATTCTGGTCTGTTGCCTCGAGAGTAATTAATGAACATGACTGAAAAGAGTATGTACTGCGTAGTTTAGTTCTTCCCAACACAAAGTAAAAGTTAGGGCGCATGTCAGTTAGAAGAGCTAGAAAGTGTGGCTACTAAGTCTGTTTTGGCATCATGCTGCAATTAATATACACTGAGGAGTAGTACACAGAAACACACTCTGTTTGACATTAATACTTGGAAATAGTAGCTGAATTTCAGTCATTTACTCTACTCGCCTTTTTGGTGTTTTTATAAATAAGAAAAGAATCATTGTCTACAAGATATGTACACCAGTCAGTGTCTTTAAGAAATATGAGTATTTAATGAAATCCTTATCTTAATTCTGCTGTCACATATTCATATAGTCATGATAATCTCTTGTCCACATCCAGGCGCCTTCTCACTCCCTCTTCCTCTCCTTGCACCTCTGGAACAACTGCAGTTTAATCCAGAAACTACAATTACTAACGGCAGTACGCTACCAGCAGAGACACTGGTCACAGTAATCTTCTTCAGCAGTGTTGATATTACTCATGCCGATTAAACCAATCAGGTAGTGCTGTGGGTGAGACTTTGCATTAGAGCCAAAGTAGTGCATTCTTCAGTTAATTTACTTTTATCTGCAAACAGATTTTTTTTTAAAAACAATAATGCAAAAGGGCTGAATATCGCGGCCGATAATCAGCCAGACAATCGATCAAGACAGAGACAGATAGATAGATAGATAGATAGATAGATAAGTCACAACACAACATCTGCACAGCTGTTAACAGGGGGGGAGAATTAACAGAAGGAACGAGCACATCGGGTATTTACCTGCACTTCCATATAACTAATTTGCAATATTTGTTTCATTACAATTTGGATTAGTGAATCACATCAACGTGTTTATTCCATCAATGTGCTCTATGATCGTCACGATGAAATTACTTTTCCGCACACAAGCTGGAAAACACTTTTGTAACCTGAGCTTTATTCCTTAGAGAGGAAATTCAAAGTCACGTGTGTTTAAAGAGGTGTAACAGGTTCTCTGCTACCCGGTGGGTCTGGTGAGCACAAGGATGCCAGCACACGGTTGAATGACGGTTTCAAATGTTCTTTATTGTCATGGAATCTGACTGGCTTGGCCGTGTGCTCTCCTGCCTTGCCTCCGAGCACACGCCGCGGGAGTTTTGCCGTGCTCTCCCTTCCTGTCCGTCCCAGTGTATCACTGTGCTCGTCCCGAGCTGTCCCTCTCGCCTCCGTCGCTACTGTTGATTAAATACAGCTGAGAGTGAGACAATCAGGATCAGTTTCAGCTGCGCCTAATTAAGTCTCTTCCCAGCACCGTTCCCTGAACCACTCCCACACTCAGTCCCCTCCACAGCTGAGCCACCCACGCCCGCCACCACAAGAGGATTTAAAAGCCAAACTAGATTATGAAACTTTGTGATGTGAGTATTTTTGTTCACCCTTTTGGACTTCTGTGCCCATTTTGAATACCTTCTTTTTAACTCAATTACTTCTGTGATAGCAAACATCACAACTCCTCTAAATTGCCTCTGTTCCTTGATTGTTCTTGACAGCTTTGCCTCAACTCAAAGAGGCTCATCAACCCTATTTACATATTTGAGCAGGCAACATGGAGTGTCAGATTGTGTTTTTGAGCTTAAATGTAAGCCACTGACAAAGAGTATCATTTGTCAGAAAATTTTAATTGGACGTTCTGAGCAAAGTAGTGGCTGCAACGGGCATAAAATCCTATGCTTAAAGGATTACACTGCTCGTTAGAGGATGTTATAAGCGTTTGATTCAAATTAGCTACTTTTGAAATGCTTGTTCTCTAATTGATACATTCTCTATCTGATGGACATATATGAGTGTTAAATGATCTTTCATGGGAATTTAAACGTGGAATGGTTTGGAGGAACTTGATTTGAATCACAAACCAAGAATAATTGGTAGTTTACTGTTAAAATGATGCTTTCTTTGGGGAAATTGGGCTTTACTAATTTGAAATATTGGCTGTGCTGTTCTTTGTTTTGGGGTATTCTGAAAGCATTGTTAAGAAACCATTCACTCACTTTAATCTTTCACTCAGTTGTTCATTAAATATATCTCAAGACATTCAATTGCACGTTTTTTTTTTAAATTGGAAAATCAAAGAGAACATTTGAACATCAATCCACATTATTATCTAATGTTTGCTTGTTTCTGTGCCTCACTTCATAAGCACAGAAACAAGGTTATAAAGAGAACAGCCATCTAAAGCAATTATGTTGGAAAGATCGTAGTAAAGCTGAAAGCAGACGGTGAGGTATTAAGTGCAAGGGATGTTTATCTTTTAAACATCCACCCCAATTATATTTCATGACAATGTGACATATACTTGTGTACTTTTTTTTAGGTCGTTCATTCAAGCCAAGCTGCTGCAAAGCCCAGAAATCTCTGGAGTTCATCCCAATAAACCTGCACACCCAGAGGATGAGAGTGACGTGCCCCAGAAAAACAGGTATAATTACACTACTGCTTTAGACTTCTGTTGGACCATTATTACGCCTTATACTTACACCTGGTGAAGGTAAGTCCAATATTCACACTCTTTTTGCCCTGTTTTTGGTCTTATCAACCTCTGAGTGAAAGTATGATGCTGTTAAGTGCTACACTTTGTTCACCAGCTAGTTGCTAAGTGTGTCGATCTGCTGTTTGGTGCGGAGCAAATCGGGTACAATGTTTTTTAGAGATTTTTCGCAAACAGTTGGCCACACAAACAGTGCTATGAGAGCGCTGACAGTGAACCAAAACAGTAAAATTTAGCTGAAACTCACTATAAAATTCCATAAAACTAAAGGGTAGCTGCAGATTCAGGTGATAATTCTCTGTACGTGTATCAATGCAAGCGACCCCTTTCCCATTGTCATGTTATTTCCCATAGTCATTTCATATATTGTTATTATATACCGTATATTGTAAAAATAGATTAAAGCCACTTCAAAATGTAATACAAACCTGCTCAAAAGCAACTTGGCAAAACAGAAAAAGCAGGTATTGTGGAAAAGTGGTTTCATATGCAAACTTTTCTATTCGCTGCTCTACTTTTGTGTTTCTATGCCTGTGACTTCTCCACCTGTCAGAGATACTCGGAGGGCTCAGACGGGGTGGTTCTAGTTCATCGTCCAGGTTGAAAGGTGAGAATTAACTTGGCCTGAGAAAGATGGACTGAACACTAATTAAGCCCTTTGCGTTTTTTCCAGAGAGAAATACTGGGTTTGTCTCCTCCGCCGCTGCTCTCTAGCTGGCAGAGCCTGTTATTACCCTGGAACTGTCTCTGTGTATCAGGGCGACTAACGCTGCCTCACTACCTGTGAGTGGGCTCCATTTCGATGATTGATGGAGAAGTTGAAGACAGACAAATCTTGATATAAACTGTGCTTCTTTCACTGAAGACATCAGGGATGACAGATAAAATAAGTAAAATCAAGTCATCATACAACCCTGAAACTGTCCTGCGCTGTCAGGGCAGAAAAAGAGGGAAATAAAGATAAAACGAGCCTGAGAGAAGTTTGTCAATTGATTGATAGACACTCTGATAATGACCCTCTGTGGGGCCAATTCACACCTTGATTCAATTCCAGGCAGTGGTGCTGTAGCTGATATGTCTGTGTGTGTTAACTCTACTTGTATACTTCAGTAGGACCTTGAGTACTAGCAGGAATACACAGCTCCCATTGGCTTCATGATTTTAATTAAGAAATCTGGGTAAAAGCAGTGATAAATGGCTCACAAAAACAAAACCTTGATTAATACAAAGAAGATATGTTTCACACAAATGAAGTAAATCTTTAAAAAGATAAATCAAGCTCAGCCCATTAAATGTTTTATTGAATACACTTTCATGCATAAGCTGTCCGCCCCCCCTTTATTCTTACCTTAAACATGCGGCGCATCGTCTCGCATACAAGTCAGTTACAGTAAATGTCAATGGATTCATGAAAAGAGACATCACTTGACATGCAGTGAGCAGAAAATCATTGTAATGTGAGTTTGACATACACCCTGTGCTGCCGTCATTCCTCATACAGGAAGAGTTTCCTTTAAATGATGACTAGATATTAGCCCAAAAATTATGTGTAATTGTAAAGATAGCACATTTCGAAAAATGTCTTTGGATATAAACCTTATTTTTGATTCGCTTATATTTTCAAATTTTAGTACCTTTTATCAAATTAGATGAAGTGTATTATCGTCTTTCACCACTGTGTACCAGTAGGAATGTAGGAACACACGGCAGCATCCAGGTGGAATAGTAGCTGCATTGTAACAACCCCAACACCCCCATTTGACCTTCGTTGCATGTAATTTACCCCTCTTTCTCTCTGCCTATCTTCCCTGTCTGCACCTTAACTGTCATTTAACCAATAATCGTAAAAATAATGGAACCGTCTTCTTAATGTAGCGAGTCCTAATTTTCAACTGTTGCCAATTGCTCTATTGTTACCTTTGAGTTTCTGAAATGATGCTTTTCCTTGCTATGCATTCCACTCAACAACAATGAACCATTCATTTTCATTTCGTCTATTGATCATCCAGCAAAAACAATGGCTCTTGGGAAATACAGCTGTCTTCTGCCTCCAAAATGACAAGTGCAAAATGTTTCCAGCCTAAAAAGCTCAGCAGAACTGAAAGCGTTGTTCAGCACTCATTTGGGTCAAAAAGGACCCTTTGTCATTGTTGAACAGGTTTGTGGAATAGGTTCAGTGTGAATTATAACCACTCATCCTGACTGCCGCAATCAATTTCCTCTTTTAGAGAGCAACTGTCCTCTCAGTACTTAAACAGCTTATTCTGTTGTTGATATATTGTATATTGAAAAAAGGACAGTGTAAGAGCGAGACCAGGCAAATCGAGCACAAATTGGTCATTGCGCTTGATGTTCTGAAACCCGCCATTGTATTATGGTACACTTCTGCTGCGGGAGAACCAATTAAGGGAACTTGGACACCCACAAACTCTTGGGGCCAAACGTGTGGTGGACAGGGAGCCTCAAGGCCAGGCACAGGGATAATGAATGGAAGAAGCAGTGTAGCAAAGCGCCAATATCAAACCACTCTTGGTCTATTGTGGTGGTGTTAGGGGACGGGAGGCTGTTGGCCGCACTGCCATTCATATCTCTGTGGCGACACTTGGAGCTGTGTTGCATCATTAATTTCTAGTTTCAACGATTTTTCAAGCAGTGTTTTCCTACAGTCGGCGCTGTGCACTGTTGCTTTCCCTGAGGTGTTCATTAACTGACCCGGCACTGAACCACACCAAAATATTCACCCCCATAAACCCCCGTCCACCTGCTCTCCCTCCTCCCTTTTTTTCTGATTTAATTGTCAGCCTCATCCATTACTCATTCAAAACAAGGCCATTGTAAGCACCCCTGTGCTCGCCTAGCCGTCTGTGAAGTGTTTATTTACTTGTGACGGCGGTGTGCAAATTGGAATGAAGTGCTGTGACATTTGTCGTCCTTCTGGTTCAACGTGGGACCAACGTTAAGACCAAAAGATGGCTGGAGAGAAATGACGCCTAAAAGATACTGGCCAAGTGCAGAATAATGTCATGTCTTATGTCGGTGTCTTATTTGTGCTTGAATATGATGCATCATTGGGCTTAAAACTACAGAGTGCAGGTTAGAATTCACCTTCGCCCAATACTCATTTTTACTGAATAGAGCTTGAAGGCATCATAAATCTAACACTTATTAGATGTATCGCAGTAAAGTATATTTGGCAAAATTCTGACTCAAAATCAGGTATATTTTACACTTTGACCAGGATCAATTTATCTCCTTGAATCTCATTTTTCTTGTTCCTTTCATACGAATCTTCCACGGTGCTGTATAATACATCTCCTTATTTTAATTCCATCAAATCTATTTTCTGTCTTACAGATGCATTCTACGACATTGTCACTGTCGGCGCCCCTGCAGCCCATTTCCAGGGGTTCAAGTCTGGTGGTCTGCAGCGTCTCCTTACCAGATATGAAACAGAGAAAAAGAGGTAGGAGAAAGAAAAACACCTGGCCAACCTGTACACCAATGGTGTTAAGAGGGAGCATGGGTGATTTAATACGGGACACAGGCTTCCATTGACAAAATAATTTAACTTGGGCATAATTGATAGTGGCAGAGAAATTTGTTGTCCCTGGCCTACGGACTTGATCTTCACAGCCCCCTACAGTTACTCACAGCCAAGCCATGCTGAATTTAGACTGGAACTCCACTGCCTCCGACAGCTCAATTTGACTGGAGGCAACAGACATGATGGAAAAGTCTTGTTGAGTCAGAAGTTCCTCTGTACTGGTTCTTTTCCCTGGCAGGCATTGTGTTTTCTCCACCCTGAAGTTGTATGTTAACTTGCCACTGAAGAGCCACATATTTTACTGCACATTTTTGTTACAACTTCCCAGCTGCCAGTTGGAGCTCGCTCTTAAAAAGCACTTCAATTCAAAACCAAATGATCGGTCCCAATGATCAGACGTTTTTATGCAATGAATGGGGACATTTCTCATCTGAGGTAATGTCTGGTGCTAATATTGTTACTACAAAGAGTATGAGATGTGTAGAGTGCAATTGAACAGCATTCCATAATCATTGACTGACAGAAATTAGTCTACAATAAGCCCTGCAATAACCAATCATCATTACGGCAAAAATATTTCACAAGGAGTGAGTTCTTAATCAGAAAAACTATGAGTAAAGTCTGAGTGATATAGTGACTTTGCTCAGACCAGCAGAGATGTTTTGTTGGTCTCACTAACACACAGTTTGATGTTAGATTGGGTTCAGACTGTGGCTGTGTCTCTGGTTGATTGCTTGATGGGGAAAATATGTCCTGTGTGTTTCTTTTACTGACTGAAACCGCTGGCTCCACAAACGCTCAAGGTTGACTGAATAAATTGAATCCACACTACTATGGTTGTGTTATACATACACAGATACAAAGCGCACAAACACAGACTGAAAGTGCACTCCGGGAGAACAAATCCATATGACTTCCTCAAGATCAGCAGTATCCTGTACATTTTGCTGTCTATGCCATTTAGATGCAGGACGGAGGTATATGTCACTGGAGTTCAGTATGTGGTCACTTGAGTGATGCCAGAAGAAATGAAGGGTGATTTTTCCCAAAGCTCCCTATAGAGTGCAAAGTCATTACAGACCATGCCAGATCCAATTAGTTACAGAGTTTGCAGCTCAAGAAAGAGGGGAAGAGAGGCAAGATGGAGAGGGCTGAGGTGTGGGTATGAAATGTATTGGTTGATGGGAAAATAGTTGGGGGCCTGTGCTGATAATAAAAATAAAAAAAAGAAAAGACTTCTTTACGCTAAAATGCACAAGTGAATTTGCTGAAAATGGTCAGTTTTATCTGCTGGCATGAACTCTGATAAGGTTAGCATATTTACGAGAATCCACTGAAGTGAAATCATTTTCTTTATATGAGAGATTAGACTTCAGAAAGAATTCTCCAGGGAGACAGAGCTTTTTGTTTCATATTTGACTTAGCTAATGACTCACTGTAGCTTAAATTTTCCAATTTTACGGCTGGCTAACTGACTACGTCCTGCGCTGAGCCTTATCCGTGTTTGACCTGGAATGCAGTAATTTGTCAGCCATCGTCAGAAATAGGAATAAACTTGACGATTTTGTAGCGTTTCGCAGAGGCCATTGTAATGAAGGTTCATGTTTGCGTTAAATGAGGAACATTCATTATTTCATGGTTTAATTAGCTTTTGTTATGCATGCACTAAACATCTAACCAAATATTAAGCTTAGAGGGACCTGATGTGGGTTTTGTTTTAGTTGTCAGTAAATGTGATGTACTCTAGTCGTGTGCTCAAGTCCAGTTGAGAGTCACTTAATTGCGTCAGCCCATCTGAGCAGAGCAAAGATTTGTGTGTGTGGGTGTGTATGTGTGTGTGTGCGCGCACGCACATGCAGGCACTCATTATACGTGTGTCTCCTCGCCTATCTGAGCAGCCTTTTGTAATCACATTTGATTAAAAAGGGAACAATCGGCAAGATGTGAGACTTGGCTATTCAATGGGATATTAATTCATCAAAGAGAAGATGGAAAAGGATTGAGGGATGGGGGAAAAAGGAAAACCTGAGCACAGAGGTGTTACCAGGAGGGCAATAAAAGAGCGATATGTCTTTGTTCCCTGGACACTAGAAGAGAGGAAGGGGGGTTCTTTTCAGATCCATTAAAAACCTGCATGGGCCAAGCTTGGCAATGACCAGAGTATGCAATGAAGTTTGTCTCTCAGGATGGGCCAGGAAAGAGTTTAATCAATAACTACATTTAGTATTCCTCCTGGAACCTTGCACATGTACACACAGGGCAAGAGCATTTAGCTATCATTAATGCATGCAGTCCCACTTAAATGGCTGTTTTAGAAGTCACTGTATTTTTATCCTTTTTTAATTGAACCCTATAGACCTATCTGTGGATTTGCTGAGGTGGTCTAATCTTTCATTAACTTTTGAGGCCGTTATACAGCTAATCTGCATAACGATGCGACACGCTTTTTTTTTAGGAGATAATGTTGTATGGAACCTGAACATTGACACATTTTGTCTATACCTGTACTGATGATGTGTGTTTGTTTTTATTGCAGGTGTATAGAAGTATAGGAGATTTACAGTAGTCTATGTTTTTTTACTTCTGTGTTATTTTTCAGTGTAATGTCAGACAGGCCCCTGTTTTAAGGTCAGCTTTACTTAGTTGGTGCAGAAACTGGGCAGTAGATCTCCTCTCTACATGCGTCTTTGAATTCCGTCCACTAACAGAGAGGAAGGAAGAACTGTCATTTCGCCAGGCGTCCTGGTCAAGCAGAACTGCCGAATGACACATTTCTTGGACACAAAGTGGTTGAAACTACATCACACAGTCTCTTGGGTCCAATGTTCAGATTTAATGTGACTATCAGCTCGTTGTCCAACAAAATAACTTTCTACCAGGATTACTGTGTGTGTGTGTGTGTGTGTGTGTGTGTGTGTGTGTGTGTGTGTGT